TCCAGCCTCTGTTTAAAAGCTTCCAAAGAAGGAGCCTCCACCACATCCCAAAGTAGAGAGTTCCATTGCTGAACGGCTCTCACAGTCAGGAAGTTCTTCCTCATGTTCAGATGGAATCTCCTTTCTTGAAGTTTGAAGCCATTGTTCGGCATCCTAGTCTTCAGGGAAGCGGAAAACAAGCTTGCTCCCTCCTCCCTAGGACTTCCTCTCACATATTTATACATGGCTATCATGTCTCCTCTCAGCCTTCTCTTCTTCAGGCTAAATATGCCCAGCTCCTTAAGCCGCTCCTCATAGGGCTTGCTCTCCAGACCCTTGATCATCTTAGTCGCCCTCCTCTGGACACATTCCAGTTTGTCAACATCTCTCTTCAATTGTGGTGCCCAGAATTGGACACAATATTCCAGGTGTGGTCTAACCAAGGCAGAATAGAGCGTGGGGAGCATGACTTCCCTAGATCTAGACACTAGGCTCCTATTGATGCAGGCCAAAATCCCATTGGCTTTTTTGTGATTTTGTGATACTAAATCCAGCATATATATCTTGTTTGCTGTGACATACTGTATTTTTGTGTCAGTAAAATAACAACAACAACACCACCAACAACAATAGTCATCATCATCATCATCATCTTTATTTGTATCCCGCCATATCTCCTCGGTGGGGACTCAACTTTTTCAGCAGTGGGTGGGGGATCATCCTCTCCACTTTTTTTAGAATTGGAGTAGAGAGGCATAAAGTGATTAGTTTCAAGTTCTTTCTTTTCTTCTTTTTCTCTGAGTTTGCCTCTTTTCTTCTATATCATGGCTGTTTTTTATTCCAAGAGCATCTTCCACTTACTTGTTGGGTTAGGGACCAGAGCACTGGCAAAAATGGAAATGATTGAAAAGCAGAACCCTATCTTATTTTTAATCTATCCATCCATCTCAATCTCTCTCTAATATTACATATTATAATTATTTTTATACATTATAGTAGCGTATATGCCTGGCATTACCTGGGTTTCGGAGGATTTCCACATTCCCAGCCTACCTGAACCACAGGAAATGTCCACATTTTGTCTATCAGCTTTCATCCCTTCTTTCTCTTTCCTCCCTTCTTCCACCTCTTTCCCTTTCCTTCTTTCCTTCTTTCCTTCTTTCCTTCTTTCCTTCTTTCCTTCTTTCTTTCTTTCCTTCTTTCCTTCCTTCCTTCTTCTTCCTTCTTCCTTCTTCCTTCTTCCTTCTTCCTTCTTCCTTCTTCCTTCTTCCTTCTTCCTTCTTCCTTCTTCCTTCTTGCCTGCCTTCCTGCCTTCCTTCCTTCCTTCCTTCCTTCCTTCCTTCCTTCTTTCCTTCCTCCCGTCCGTCCGTCCGTCCGTCCGTCCGTCCGTCCATCCATCCATCCATCCATCCATCTATCGCTTCTTTTTCTTTCTTCAGTTTCCTTACCTCTCTTCATGTTTTATTTCCCTTCTTTTTTTCTCCCTCCCTCCCTCCCTTTCTTCCTTCCCCTTCCCTTTCTCCCTTCTCCATCACTGAGAGGACCTACCTAACAATGTTTTCATGTCAACATGACTCTCTTTGTGGCCCCTTCCTTCTTTCCTTCCTTCCCCTCATACATGTGTCACATTTCTTTCCCATTGACATCACCAAGGGCCACTCCACCTAGCCACAGCCTTTATGGTACAAACAAACAGGCAGAGATAATTTATACCAGGGGTCCTCGAATTTTTTAAACAGAGGGCCGGGTCACAATCCCTCAAACTGTTGGAGGGCCAGATTATAACTTTAAAAAATGAATGAATTCCTATGCACACTGCACATATCTTATTTGTAGTGCAAAACACTTAAAAACAATACAATAATTAAAATGTAGAACAATTTTAACAAATATAAACTTATTAGTATTTCAATGGGAAGTGTGGGCCTGCTTTTGGCTTTCTTTCCTCGTGTCAGGAGTGACCTGAGAAACTGCAAGTCGCTTCTGGTGTGAGAGAATTGGCCGTCTGCAAGGACGTTGCCCAGGGAACGCCCGGATGATTTTGATGTTTTGCCATCCTTGTGGGAGGCTTCTCTCATGTCCCCACATGAGGAGCTGGAGCTGATAGATTGAGCTCATCTACCTCTCCCCGAATTCGAACCTGCGACCTGTCGGTCTTCAGTTCTGCCGGCACAGGGTTTAACCCACTGCGCCACCGGGGGCACTTTTGGCTGATGAGATAGGATTGTTGTTGTTGTTGTTTTGTGTGCTTTCCAGTCATTTCAGACATAGATTGACCCTGAACGAGGGCCGGGTAAATGACCTTGGAGGGCCGTATCTGGCCCTCTGGACTTAGTTTGAGGACCCCTGCTTTATACTGTGACTTTTATATAGAGAGATTATATTTACAGTATAAGTATTATAATGTACTAGCCATCCCCTGCCACGCATTGCTGTAGCCCACATGGGGGTTCTGTGTGGGAGGTTTGGCCCAATTCTATTGTTGGTGGGGTTCAGAATGCTCTGTGATTGTCGGTGAACTATAAATCCCAGCAACTACAACTCAAAAATGACAAGATTCTATTTTCCCCAAACTCCACCAGTGTCCACATTTGGGCATATGGAGTCTTCGTGTAGAGTTTGGTCCAGATCCATCATTGTTTGAGTCCACAGTGATCTATGGATGTAGGTGAACTACAACTCCAAAACCAAAGGACACTGCCCACCAAACCCTTCCAAGTGTGCCAAGTTTATTATCTATTTATTTAGAACTTTTATATACCGGTCTTCTCACCTCCAGCGAAGGACTCTGGCCGGTTTACAACAAGGAATTCATACACAGTAGTTTAAAAAAGTCTCGATAAAATCGTAAAGAGTAGAGACATCAGACTGGCAACAAAGATCCATTGCCTAGTCAAAGCCATGGTCTTCCCTGTAGTCACCTACAGATGTGAGAGCTGGACCTTAGGGAAGGCTGAGCGAAGGAAGATCGATGCTTTTGAGCTGTGGTGCTGGAGGAAAGTCCTGAGAGTGCCTTGGACCGTGAGAAGATCCAACCAGTCCATCCTCCAGGAAATAAAGCCCGACTGCTCATTGGAGGGAAGGAGAGTAGAGGCCAAGATGAAGTACTTTGGCCACATCATGAGGAGACAGCAAAGCCTAGAGAAGACAATGATGCTGGGGAAAGTGGAAGGCAAAAGGAAGAGGGGCTGACCAAGGGCAAGATGGATGGATGTCATCCTTGAAGTGACTGGACTGACCTTGAAGGAGCTGGGGGTGGTGACGGCCGACAGGGAGCTCTGGCGTGGGCTGGTCCATGAGGTCACGAAGAGTCGGAGACGACTGAACGAATGAACAACAAGTTTAAAAACATCACATCCAATAATACACGAATATAAACACATTAAAGTACTGTCATATAATTATATAAGGCCAAATCGTTAACATAAAATCACTATTCATCCCTATTCATCCCCATCCATCCGTGTGGTCAAGAGTTATTGTCTCACTCATCAAATGCCAAATTCCAGAGCCAGGTTTTCACCAACTTTCTAAAGGTCAGGAGAGAAGGGGCAGTTCTAATCTCCAATGGGGGAGAGTTCCAGAGCCGAGGCGCCACCACCGAGAAGGCCCAAGTTTGGTTTAATTCAATCGTTGGTGGGGTTCAGAATGTTCTTTGATTGTAGGTGAACTATAAATCCCAGCAACTACAATTCCCAAATGACAAAATCATTTTTTTTAGTGAAGGACGTACATTGGGTTGTTAGGTGTCTTGTGTCCAAATTTGGTGTCAATTCGTCCAGTGGTTTTTGAGTTCTGTTAATTCCACAAACGAACATTACATTTTTATTTATATAGATTGTATGATGTGCAAAAATAAAAATGCATATACTGTACAGAGGCACGCAGCCCAGATTTTCTAAGACACGCAGATTGAAAAAGATGGTGCTGAGTGGACTGAGAGAAAACAAAAGCAGCGTGTGGTGCAAAGCTGTCAAAAGAGCGGAACAAAAATATGATTCAGGATATAAATTTAGAAAGGTCAAAACAGCGGGTCATTGGTGGGGCCGCCCGCATATGGCCGTCGCGTCTACTGAGTTGGGGGTGGGTTCTCCCGCTGCCGCCATGTGCTTTGTCCTGCCTGTCAGAGCAAACGGGGGGAATAGCCCACCACCGTCGGAGGTTTCCCTGACCATTGCAGAAATGGTCCTCTTTCATTCTTTCAAAGATGACAGAAAAATAATTGCGCACTGTCCCAGAATGGCCCGGCACGGTCTCAAGGGAAGGGGGTCCGCTTTGGCTTGGGTTCGGCTCCCGTCCCAACGATGGGGGTAATTAGCTGGCTTTCAGGAGGCGGCTTTCCGAGCCTCTTGTTCTCATCTGAAAAATGGAATAATGGTGACCTCTCTTGCTTGGTTTTTGATGAGGATTAATGATAGCATTTGGCTACTTTCTATTTGGTGCCTTGGGGGACGGGAGCGCCTATAAAACCAGAGTGAGTGAATAAATCAGTCTGGGCAGGGTTCATTTTCTAGTCGAGTTGGTTTTATAAATAAAACGTTACCTGTGATTAAAAAGGAAGCAGAGCAAACATACATTATGTAGAGTCCCTTTTGCATATTTTTACACCCCTTTGGTTCCATTTCCCTTGCCGGGTCGCAGTGAGATCCGCATTAGCGGGGCCTTCTGTCAGCACCGTCAAGTGATAACTTGATTGAATTATGCCGGCGTTCTCAAGTGTGAAGGCAGGTGATGTGGCCCCTCTTCAGCTTTGTCGTTCACACTATACAACGACGCATCTTCCTTGCTTTCAACTTTCAAAAGACCTGCTGTGTGCCACCTTACAAAACAGTGACAGGAATGTTAATGCTTCCAAGCACTTCACATGCCATTAACATCTATTGACAGAGGTTCAAGGGAGTATCATGTTCTTTTGGTTGTTGTCGCAGTTGCTAGTTTAGGTGCTGCATTTCCTAGCATTGCAAGTGAAAGGGAAATAGATGCTGGAGTTTGATATTCTCCTCTTCTCCCTTCCTTTTCAGCTGTTTCTTGTCGCTGCTCCTGGTGGCTGCCGTGGTTTGGAAGATTAAGCAGAGCTGCTGGGCTTCGCGGCGGAGAGAGGTGGGTCAAATGAAACAGAATGAAACAACCCGCTCTCATTTTACTAGCCCCTTAATGGCATGACACATTAAGATCACTACTGACAAAAAGGTCATGAGTTCAAAGCCAGCCCGGGTAGGAGTGAGCTTCCGACCAATTTGTGTAGCTTGCTGTTGACCTTTGGAGCCCGAAAGACAGTGGCATCTGTCAAGTAGGAAATTTAGGTACTGCTTATGCGGGGAGGCTAATTTACAATGCCATAAAAATCTCCAGCAAGCATGCAAAGAATTGTTGCAACCCAGAGCAGGAAACTGGACCCTCAGACAGCAATCCACCACACTTGGCTTCAGGAAAACAATCCTTTTTTTATTGATGAAAGATGAATACAAAATAGAGGAAAAAATGCAAAGGCAAAAAGTCGCAGTAAAAATCAGCAACAAGAAATGTCCATAAACAAGATCATAAAACCCACAGCAAAACTGCTGAATCCTGGAACCTGTTAGCAATCCACTAGCCGTACTTGAGACAACTAGAAAACCTCCGAGGAACAAGGCTACTGGAATCAGGAGACCTGCAAACACTGGCACATGAAACTGGAACGATGCCTGGTCTGAAGCTGTATTCGGGGCAAGCATATTTAAGGCCGAGAAATCTATTGCGAGACACTCCCGCAGGTTTGTTTGGATTTCCTTCAATCTAGCTGACCTGCATAAACTTTGTGCTTCTCCCCGACTCTGCCAAATCTGCCCCCTCCTATCCTCATTAGGCAGACCAGGTGTCTGATTCTCTGGAGAACTAAGACTGGGAGGAAAAGGGAGTGAACCGTCTCCTCTCGGCTCGGAATACATGTTCTCATGGGAATCTTGACTTTCGCTTTCCAAGGCTGAAGGATTTTCACTACTCAAACCATCATCATCTAAATTGGCCTCAGAATTCACATTGACATCTACATGGGCATTAGGAAATACAATCAGAGAATCTGGTTCAGGTTCACACACAGGCTGAACCCCAACAAGAATGAGGAAGTACTTCATCAGTGCCACAAATGGACAATGAAGCAACAGCTCCCCTGGTGGCCAGAATACCCTCATGAAAAAAGCTGGAATGTTAAATAGCCTTTGTGTATCTGTCTATATATGTGTCGCGCCAGAAAAGGTTCACCTTGCTGAAAACACCAAACTGCACACAGCCAGAAGTCTTTCTAGTTTATTAAAAAGTGAAAGATAAAAAGTTCTTAAAAGCAAAAGTAATGTTCTAAAAGATCAATACAAAATAACACTTTGAAGCATGATCCAAAAAGGCACCAGCAAAGCAAAATCCCATGAGAATATGACTGAGACCTGAGTCCATGAACACAAGAACTGCAAGATCATCCAGACAAGCAAAATGCAAGCTTCTTGGTTAAGCAAAAAGTTGCTCTGACAAAGGTTTGGGCCCAAACACACTGCTTAATACCCTTTGCAAAACATGAAGGTGTTTCTTTGGCCTCTGACCTCCTTCTTGTTAGCTATTCTCACACTCCTTCGAACTCTGAATTCCAAACGGTCAGCTCGATCTAAGGTTCCCATTTCGTCAAGGTCAGTCTGTTCGTTAGTGTTATCCAGTTTGCCTTCCTGCTCATTATCAGGCTGAGAACTGTCCTCCTTTTCTGAGTCAATTTGTACCTGCACCTGGTGCAAATTTCACTATCAACAAACTCACTTCTTGCTGTGGGAAACCGAACTTCCACACCCTGTTCCTCATTGACTAAAACAGGGACATTTTGAACCAGATTGTGAACCTGAGTCCCATCATCCTCATCAGAGGCACTCTTGTGGTTCCAGCTGAGTCACAACAATATGTTGTGTTTCTATGGCATTGAATGTTTGCCATGTATATGTACATTGTAATCCGCCCTGAGTCCCTGCAGGGTGAGAAGGGAGGAATATAAATACTGTAAATAATAAATAATAACAATAACCCTTTATGGATATTCTGCCCTATCTTCCCAAGGGGACTCAGGGTGGATCACAGTACACATACACGGCAAACATTCAATGCCGTTTTGGACAGACAGGACAGAGACAGACAGAACGGAAAGGAGATATGTTTGTGTTGACATCCAGCTTTTTGGCACCTTGGAGGTTGTGCTCAAATCCAGCCACAAGGAGGTGCTGTCACCCCATCTTCTATGGCAAAGGACTTAATCCTTACCTTTGGTCCCTGGGTATTTTTTTGAGCTTTTTCTTTATGGTATCGTAAAATACCTCTCCCACTTTTGTTTATCAGTACCTGATTCTCTATAACTCAAGCTTTTTTTTTTTTTTAACTGCTTAGCTCAGAGGTCCACAAACATTTTACACCAAGGGCCAGGTCACAATCCCTCAAATTGTTGGAGGGCCAGATTATAATTTGGAAAAAAAACATGAATGAATTCCTATGCTCACTGCACATATCTTATGTTTCATGCTTATGTTTATGTTTGATGTTTTTATAGTTTTAATGGTTTTTATCTACAGTTATACGTTATTGATTTAGATATGTGATATTTTATATATATATATATATATGTGAGGCATTGAATTTGCCATTTATTATTTTGTAAACTGCTTTGAGTCCACCCAGGGGTGAGAAAAGCGGTATACAAATGTAGATAATAATAATAATAATAATAATAATAATAATAATAATAATGAAAAAAACACTTTAAAACAATACAATAATTAAAATGAAGAACAATTCTAACAAATATAAACTTATTAGTATTTCAGTGGGAATTGTGGGCCTGCCTTTGGCTTTTTTTTTTGTTTTTGTCGTGTCAGGAGTGACTTGAGAAACTGCAAGTCGCTTCTGTTGTGAGAGAATTGGCTGTCTGCAAGGATGTTGCCCAGGGGACACCCGGATGATTAGATGTTTTATCATCCTTGTGGGAGGCTTCTCTCATGTCCCCGCATGAGGAGCTGGAGCTGATAGAGGGAGCTCATCCGCCTCTCCCCGGATTCGAACCTGCGACCTGTCGGTCTTCAGTCCTGCCGGCACAGGGGTTTAACCCACTGCGCCACCAGGGGCTCCATCCACCTTTGGCTGATGAGATAGAATTGTTGTTCTTGTGTACTTTCAAGTCGTTTCAGACTTAGATTGACCCTGAGCGAGGCCCGGATAAATGACCTTGGAGGGCCATATCCGGCCCTTGGGCCTTAGTTTGGGGACCCCTGGCTTAAGTAAACAGTGAGCTGGGCTGACAGTCAGGTGCTCACACTGACCCGGGGCCCTTGCATCTGTTATTATTATTTACAGCATTTATATTCCGCCCTTCTCACCCCGCAGGGGACTCAGGGTGGATTACAGTGTACACATATATGGCAACCATTCAATGCCAATTTTTGACATACAACATATACAGACATACACAGAGGCTATTTAACTTTTTCTGGCCGCCAGGAGAGCTGTCGCTTTCATCATCCATCTGTGACGCTGATGAAGTACTTCCGCATTCCCCGCATGCTTTTTGCTGGAGTGCTTGCTGGAGTCCTTTTTATGGCCTCATAAAATTAGTTTATTTATTTATTTATTTATTTACTTCATTTGTATACCGCTATTCTCAGCCCTAAGGTGACTCACAGCGGTTAACAACAATCAAGCAAAACAATCAAAGCAAAAATTCAATGCGGCATCAACAAGGTATTTAAAAACAATTAACACAGAAGCAGACTAAACAATTAAACAGTAGCAAACATTCAAGTGGCGTCTCATAATTAGAATCATGATCCAAACTCGTCAATCGTAATTCCATTTCCTGAATTCATTGCACTGCCTATTCAAACGCCTGTTCAAATAACCAGGTTTTCACTTTTCTCCAGAATACCATCAATGAGGGAGCCAATCTAATGTCCATGGGAAGGGCATTCCACAGCCGAGGGGCCACCACCAAGAAGGCCCTGTCTCTCGTCCCCGCCAGCCATGCCTGTGTTGCAGGCGGGATAGAGAGTAGGGCCTCCCCGGAAGATCTCAAAGTCCTAGTGGGTTCGTAGGTGGAGATGCGATTGGATAGGTAACTTGGGCCAGAACCATTTAGGGCTTTATAGGCCAATGCCAGCACTTTGAATTGGGCCCGGTAGCAAATTGGTAGCCAATGGAGCTGGCGCAACAGAGGGGTTGTATGCTCCCTGTGTGCCGCCCCTGTTAGTATCATGGCTGCCACACGTTGGACCAATTGAAGCTTCCTCCCCACACTTTAAGGTGGTACCTAATTTTCCTCCTTGACAGATGCAACTGTCTGTTCTCACGCAAGATGTCAAGTACACAACTAACTTGGGTTCTGTTGGCAATAGGATGTGTCAAAATGTCCCTGTGTTTTCGTATTTTGGAGTACCGTACATCAAAATTTGACCTGACATTCCCAAAAAGTGATACCCATCGTGCTCAGAGTTTCCAAAGTCCTCTATCAGTGGTTGGTCTTGTAAATGTTTCATGATTTACGGAAATTGGGAGACAAGTTGGCCTGTCTCCTTTCCTTTTAAAACAGAAAATGTTTCCAGGTTACTTTTTGCAAATCCCTGCAAGAAACAAAACAAGATCTTGCCGTTTTTATTCCCTACCGTTATTTCACATAGGTGCTGTCAATTCGGGCGAGGGAATGGTTCTTGTCTTCACAAGTGTAGGAGTCAGCAAGAGATTGTACAGTATCCCCTGCGGGTATTCAGGGGGATAAAGCACACATTTTTTAACCTATACAATTCACCTCGTGTAGTGATATGAACATGGTTTGAAATTAAGCTCACACATGTGCTCTGGAAAGACAAATGGGATTTATCTCCCAGTTACTTTGTTTTGGAATGTGGGGTCTTGCAAATGCCGCACACGCCTCTCTTTCAGACGTTTCTCCCTGCAAGTTGCACTCTTGGTAACGCTTGTGGCATTTGCTTTGTCTCGCTCAGAAGGCACCCATACAGCCATACTTACCTTCAAACTATATATGGCATGCATTTGTAAAGTTAGGGACCTCAGCAGGCCTGCTCGCATTATTTGAATGGTTTGAAGAA